TTGTCTTAGTCGAACGGTTCGATTGATTGCACGCCCGTAGAAGTGATAGGTAATTTTAAGGTTGATTAATGGAGGAATTAATTCAATGTTTAAGTACTAATTAGTAAGTGTTAATAATATACTGCATGCAGCTCTCCTGAACCTGCCTCCAGATTCACCTGATGCTCAGATTTTCTACCGGAACAGTAGTAGTGCTACTCCCCCTGTGTCCAATGGTACGTTGACACGTGTCCTAATTAATTATTATCCAATAAAAAATTAAATTATCCATATTTTTAATTATTAATTTTTTTTTTTTAATTTTTGTGAAAAAAGTGCCTAATCCAGCAATAAGTGTGACTCCTAGTCCAGGAGGCAGTATTCAGCAGAAGAGTAGTGGTTGTGGCATTAAGAAGAGATGTATGGGATTGGGAATATTCTTTTGTGGACTTGTTTTGTTTTTCTCTTTTACTGCAGATTTTATTATTATTATTATTATTTAATATTAATAATTATCTGTTTAATTTGTAAAATCCATGGGATTAATATGTTGGATTACTACTACTATATGTTTCAATAAGATGTAAACCTAAGTCCATATGAAATGTAGAATAATGGTAGCAAATCATCCTGGTGTATGTGTATTTATTTATTTCTAGAATAACACGACGGCGTTTTGCATTCTTTTGGATTGGTTCGACGACGGTGTTTTGGAATTTCATCGCGGTTTGAGTCATTATGCACCATGTATGTACTGATATTGTCGGCTTTTGAGAAAATAAACTCCGCATATACGGTTTTTTAGTTGGGACGGTACATAATGGCTCGTTTTTTTCGGTTTCCAGCGCCGGTTTTTGGTTTTTTGGTTATAAGAGAATGAATATAACTCAATCTAGATACACAAATAATACAATATAATTGGAAATTAATGATATGTGCAATGTGAAAGAATGAAATAACGGCCAAAAAATATTTAAAATAAGACAATGTGTATTATTTAGGGTAAATAGCATTAATTTGAACTTTGTGCACATTACCCCCTTATATTTTCAATATAAGCATAACCCCCTTTGAAAAATTTCCTCTTTCTAATAAGCATGATCATTTATCAAGTGGGATACCATAAGTGGGGTTATTTGCTTATATTAATAGGAAAAGGGGGTCATATGCACAAAGTTCAAACTATAGGAGGTCATATGCTTATATTAAAAGTAAAGGGGGTCATATGCACAAATATCAAACTACAGGGGGCTAATTGCTATTTACCATATATTCTATTTTGCAGGTGCTGAGGTTTATCCTACTCTCCCCCCACAGTCCCGCTTAAATCTCCCCATTTCCCTTCGTCAACATTTTTCAGAAGCAAAACAGAGCATAAATCAAGCAAAAATGGCGGTTCTGTTTTCAACCATCTCTCTCTCTCCAAGCGCCGCCAATCTCAACATCAGGCTATCGTCGAAGAACAGTATTGAAGCAACAGGATTTCACCTTTTTACTGGTATTTTTTTTTTTTTTTTTAAGTTTCTTCCCAAATTTCTCTCGTTTTTATATTGCAGATTCATTCGATAATCACAGTACCCACTGGTCAAAAATCATTTTGTTTATAGGACTGGATTTAGGAAAAAAGAAGGATAAATGTATGAAGAAATGTGTACACTCAATTCGAAGTGGTGAAGCAATTATTCAGAAAACCGAGAAAAAATATGTGAGAAACCCTAGAAAAGTTGATAGGGGTTTAATTTTGAGCGAAGGTAGAGAGGGGGATGAGAATTACGGGCTCATATGCCCTGGTTGTGGTGTGTTCATGCAAGAGAAAAACCCTAATCTTCCAGGGTTTTTTCAGCAAAGAAAAGTTGAAATTGAGGCAGAATCAATTGATACTATAGACGATTTGTTGGATGAGAATTTTGACGATTCTGATGAATTTGATGAAGATGATGATGATTTTGAGGATGACATTGAGGCAAATTTGGAAGACGAAGATGAAGAAGATGATGATGATGAAATTGAGGGAGAATCTGATTGGGAATCAGAAGAATGGGAGGATTCCGATTTCGAAGACGGTGAAAACGAATATTTAAAAGAGTTGGACGGATTTACCCCTGCCGGAGCAGGTTACGGCAACGTTACAGAGGAAACAATCGAGAAGGGCAAAAGGAAGAGACTCTCCAAAGCAGAGAGGAAAAGAATCTCAAGAGAGGCTCCAAAAGAGAAGGATGAGGTGACAGTCTGCGCCAGGTGTCACTCCCTAAGGCACTACGGTCAAGTGAAGAATCAGTTGGCCGATAATTTAATACCCGATTTCGATTTCGACCGCTTGATAAGCACGAGATTAATGAAACCCACCGGAAACGCAGACTCCACGGTGGTTGTCATGGTGGTCGACTGCGTTGACTTCGACGGGTCTTTCCCGAAACGGGCAGCCAAGTCATTGTTCAAAGCACTTCAAGGAGGTGGAATCGAAGGTTCAAAACTAAGTAAAAAATTGCCGAAGCTCGTTCTTGTAGCTACGAAAGTTGATCTTCTTCCGTCGCAGATTTCGCCAGCTAGGCTGGATAGGTGGGTCCGGCATAGGGCGAAGGCGAACGGGGCGCCTAGGCTGAGTGGGGTCCACATGGTTAGTGCTAGGAAAGATTTGGGCGTGAAAAATTTGCTGACGTTTATAAAAGATTTGGCGGGGCCTAGAGGAAATGTTTGGGTAATTGGGGCTCAAAATGCAGGGAAATCAACTTTGATCAATGCGTTTTCGAAGAAGGAAGGTGTTAAAGTCGCAAAACTGACCGAAGCTTCTATTCCTGGAACTACGCTCGGGATATTGAGGATTGGAGGGATTTTGCCAGCTAAGGCGAAGATGTACGATACTCCGGGACTTTTGCACCCGTATTTGATGTCTATGAGATTGAATAGGGATGAGCAGAAGATGGTTGAGATACGGAAAGAGCTTCAGCCTCGAACTTTTCGGATCAAGGTAAGTTATATAAAGTACTTCGAAAACTGAATGCCTCTTTAAATTGCCGAAATTGAAAATGTTTCTGGAGTTGGTAGATATTGTTGTTGTAGAATATTTAATCAAGAATGGCTTTTTATTAGATGATTGTGAACTTTGGATGTGGCGAAAAGCGGGAGGTTATATTTATCGTTCGCGAAACTTAGGGCTTAAGCATAATTTAAAGAAAGCATATAGCAACATCACCGCTGACTTAGCGTTGTATTTCTTTCCCGATCTTTCATTTAATCAAGACAAATACGAAGATATTAAGTGTAAAAGAAACATGAAGATTGGTGCCTTTTACGTTAATTACCCACTGCCCAAAAACTTCGGCTTTTTTTTTTTTTTTATAGAATAAATAAGCTTTTAAATTGCTTGAAACATCGCAATGTACTCTATTTACTTTTCTTTTCTTTGTGTTTGATTTGTGTAGGCTGGTCAAGCTATACATGTCGGTGGATTAGTGAGACTGGATCTTGACCAGTCTTCCGTAGAAACTATATATGTCACAGTCTGGGCATCTCCATGCGTTTCTCTTCATCTCGGAAAGATTGAAAATTCCGATGAGATTAAGATCAAGCATGCTGGTATTAGGTTGCAGGTAAGTTATTTCTTGAGCCACTTAATTTATCGGAAGATGTTTTACAATTACTGATTCGATTTAACCTCCACTTAAACTAATTACTTATCAAAGAGGGAAAAAAAATGTCATATTTTAGTTTATCGTCAGTAGCTGATAACTGCGGTAAGAATGATTTTGCATGAATTTATTTGAATTGTTAGCTGCAAAATAAAATTAAAAAAAATTATTAGTCCATTACAGTGAAATCTGTATCTATCTATATATCGCACTTGTACATTTCATTAAGAATTTCTTGTAACTATGCTCTTCCCTTTACAATACTTCTAATTTTTTATTAAATGTTTTTGTTATATTTTGTTTTTGGTCTATTTCAGCCACCTATTGGTATAGACCGAGTTTCGGAACTAGGTGAATGGGTAAAACGAGACGTAAAAGCAACTGGAGTGAGCTGGGATGTGAACGCAGTAGATGTATCTGTGGCAGGGTTGGGTTGGTTCTCTTTGGGTTTGAAAGGCGAAGCGAATTTAACCCTATGGACATACGATGGCATCCAAATTGCTTTCCGCGAGCCTTTGGTGCTCGATCGGGCGTCGTTTCTCGAGCGGCCCGGTTTTTGGCTGCCAAAGGCTATTTCCGAAGCTATTGGCAAAGAAACCAGGCTCGAAGCTCAATCTAAGAGAAAGGATTCTGACAGCATTATGGATTGAGCAATTATATTGAAAAAAGGGTTTTATTACGTTTTTGCCCTTCTTTGAAAGCTGCCCCCACTCGTGCATACTGAGGGCACCATCGGAATAGGATGAATATTGGTTTTCTCAGACCTTGGATTTTGTGGTGGGCCCGAGTGGTGAAACGAGGGCTTTAATTCGGGCTGGTGGGGTTGTTTGATTTCTTCCCATACGTAAATTTGACTTACGCGGGAGATGAGAGGGAGATAGACGAAGTTTACTTATTGAGAACCTGTGGTTAAATTTTATATATATATTTTACTTATTTGAGGCTATGTTTGGTCCGGTTTTGGTGCTATATTTTGGGAGAAGATTGTTTGTTTTTATTTTGAGAAAACACATTGTAATGTAATAATTTGTATTGTCTTGAGATTGTAGCTTTAAACTAATTATTTTTAAAGAAGCTGAAATAAAAGTTATATTTGAAAACATTAAAGAAAATTTGTGCACTTCGAGTGGTGTATATTCTCTCTATTATATATAAAAAAAAAAAAATCCGATTTTTGGAAATTAGCAATAAATTAGAATTTTACTCACAATGGCCAATTTTTAGTTTTGGAAACTTATGCAAATAAGCAACTTGGATAGATTTTTATTTTTGGTTTTTGGTTGCAAATTGCAATTCATAGTAATGAAGAAAACAAAATTTGATGACAAGATAGGTAGATCATGTTCTTGAACATTTGCAAGAAAACTGGGGATCCAATTTGGATAATAATAATAATAATCCAACAAATATGTGATGTTTTAATGAGCCACATTTGACTCAATTCCCACCATATTTAAATTATTATTACCAGATTTGTGTGGCTGAACATTTGACTGCCTACACGACATTGTAGTCATGGGTTTCCATCTCTCAACTCAACTGCAATTGTCAACATTCAATAACAAAAAATCAAATTCATCGAGTATAATTAATATCGAAATTCCCCGAATATATGTTTAATTTTGATTTTAATTTTCTGTTTTTGTTTGGTGAATTAATTCCCAGGTCCCAAAATAGTAAATAAAGTTTGCCAGTTTTGGTGATTGGTATAAAAATGGGTTCACAAACTCCAAAGCATCACATTCTTGCTCAATTCCCATGCACATTAAATTAAATATTACTATGATGATTTATTGAATTTTATTTATTTACTTGTATTTTTTTAATGTGTGCTCAGACATGATTTATGTTATTACATTAAAAAAATCTCTCTATTAAAATACAAGTATCTGAACTGGAAAATTGAAATAGGAATAGAGCTTGAATATATTTTCCAATTACATCATCATCGTTCTATATTTAATTATAAAAAAATATATTTTATATTATTGTTGATGGACTTTAAATTTAAATTTTGTTAAACAAAAATTGGATTGAAATTCATGGGCGAACTTGACCTCAAAAACGTCCACATCCAAGTCCAACCCCACACTGCACACCTACATAACCCTTTTATATTTTTGGGCAAATTACAGTCATTCCCTGAGGTATGTTCAAATTACAAAACAACCCATTTTGTGTGGATAATTACAGCTACTCCTCCTTTTAAATATTTTTACATAAAAATAAGTAATTCAGTTATTTACCGAAATAAATCGTATATTCAGTTTGGTAAACGGTATGAAATGTTGGCGTATCGAAATTTTGATTCGGCTTTACCGATTTAACATCCATAAATTTACATCTAGAGGGATTTTTTTATAAAATAATACATAGTTGAGGGGTGGCTCCCAAACAAAATAGTTTTTTTTTTTTGTAATTTAACCATACCTCAGGGGTTGTCGTAATTTGCCCTATATTTTTTTTAACAAGTGCATAAAATATATTAAATAAATGTACGTATTTACAATTTTAATTGATAATTTTTTTTTTAAATTTTATCCTTATTATTCATAAATTATTCGAAATTAACTATCACCAATGGAGAAATGACAAAATTGACAAAAAATGCAATTAACGCATCACTGAAATTATATCTAATAAATAAATTTGGCATGAAATAACTAGTTGACTATTTATTTAGCGTTGACTTTATGCATACTATATAATCTACAAAATTTATAAGTCGAAATTCTGCTATAAGCATATTAATGAAAATGAGCATACATTAAATGTATAAAAATATTTATTTAGTCAAACTTCTTAAATCCGCATATATATATATATATATATATATATATATATATATATATATATATATATATATATATATATATATATATATATATATATATATATATATGATTACGGAAATTAGAAATGAATGTATTTGCTTCAAAATTGGAAATTTTGAGAATTGGGTCAACAAAATTTTAAAAATTGTTCCAATTTTCAGAACTATGTTAAATCGAAAAAAAGAAGAAATAAATAAAAATAATAAGGGGTATTATAGTAATTGCGCATTCTCGCCGTTTATATTTGAGTTTCCCAACGTATATAGAGAGGTGGCGCCTTCGTCGTCAAAATTAAATCCCCAAACAATTTATGCATTTACAAAATTTCAAAGAGAGAAGGAAAAACTGCACACAGTACAAGCTGTTTCTCTCTCTATCTCTCTCTCTCTCTTCGCCCTACAAATTATAAAATCTCTTCCCTTTTTTTCAAAACAAAAAAAAAAAAAAACAATTTATTTATTTATAATTATTTATAGGGTGATGGAATTGGGGTAATCTGCTTCGAGGTACGAAAATTTTACTCTATTATTACACACTTTCAGATGTATGTATCTACAGAGAGTGTTGATTTTCATCTCTGCCGAGTTTTAGGGTTTATAAAGTTCCGCATGCATCCATTTCTCTCTCCTTCCAAGATTCTGTTTTTCTGTGTTTATGATTAGTGTGTGTGTTTTTTTGTTTTTTAATTTATTTTAAAAGTTTTATTATCAATGGGTAGGGCATGTAATTTGTCAAATATGGGTGCAATTGGATTCAAATGGCTTTTAGTTTTAGCTATATATATAGCGATGAAACTCTTCCAATTGCCAATTGATTTTGGTTAAAATTTAGAAATGTTTTTAACCTGATCAAGTAATTTTTTATTATTTTATTTTTATTTTTTCCCCTGATTATTTCCTCTAAAAGATTACTAGTATCCAAAAATTGATAATGAATGATTAGTGTCTGAATCCTAAGTGAAGAATTTTGTAGATATCTTCTCATTTTCGATTTTCGTATATGGTGTACGAAATTCCCGACATAAAAAAAAAAAAAGAGAGAGAGAATTCGAAATAATGTTCCGATTTAAATTATGAATTAACTTGCAGGATTTTACCACTTCGGAGTGTTCCAATTTTTTTTCTTCCCGAAAGTGTATGACTCGGAGCAGAAGGGGTGATGAGTCACCCCTCGGAAGGTGCTCGGTCTTGTATTACGGTGTGGGCCATATGCTCAATGATATTACATCTGCTTGTTGGTTCACTTATCTCTTAGTCTTTTTGACCGATATTGGTCTCCCTCCAAGGTTCGTACATTTTAATTAAACCGTAAAAACAAATATTAATTAATCTGCTAATTATTGCTGTTGTAATTAGTTGTGATTTCTTTCCGTTAACAGAGATGCTGCTATTGTCATGCTCGCCGGTCAAGTTGCTGATGGATTCACAACCGTTTTCGCAGGTGAACTCGTAAGTATTTCACAATTTAAATCAGTATTCTAATACAATATGTCTATATATATTGAGTGAAATGAAATAATTGCGACAAGAAAGTGATTTATTCTAATTTTATTTATTTATTTATTATTATTATTATAGATAGACAGGTACGGACGTTTTAAGGTATGGCATGGTGCAGGATCCGTATTGGTTGCTGTTTCGTTTTCTTCGGTTTTTGGTGGTTGCTTGCCATGCAAGATTCTAGGATCCTATTCGTCGTCCATGCGTACCGTCAGTTATAGCTTCTTTGCTGCAGTTTTTAACATCGGATGGGCTGCCACTCAAGTTTCTCACATGTAACGAAAAAAGAAAAAAAAAACATATATTCACGATATATGACGAATTTAAATTTTGGATTTACGAGTAAGGGGTGGAATTTGAAATTTATGAAGCTTGCTTGTTTTGTAGGTCAATGGTCAACTGCATCACTCTGAATTCTACAAGCAGAGTAGTGTTGGCCAGCTGTCGCAATGCCTTTACAATGGTAATATTATTTTCTTTGCACTAATATATTATTTTCGGTGTTTTATTTGTGAAGTAATATCTCGATCGTTCATTTATTCTGAAGATTGCCAATCTTAGTGTATATGCCGTTGCTTTCGTCGTATTCAACATTAACACGAAAGGGTCGGTTATTGATGTCGAGAATCAGGTAAACAATATTTTTTTCTTATTATTATTTTTTTAGATTTTTTTTTTTTTTTTTTATTTCTCACCTCTCTGTAAGTTTATCAGTATCGGTGGATAGCATATTCCTCGATTCTCATTGGGTGTTGTTTTGTGGTTATTTTTCATCTCGGTACAGCCGAGCCAAGGTTTGTCATGATCCTCTCTTTTTTTTTTAAATATTTTTTTTTTCTGTTTATGATACTCACATTTATTAATCTTGCGAAATCGTTTTCGTAATTATCCAATTCTCGTAGATTGAAAAGGGAAGCTCGTGAAAAGGGCCACGCCAGAATTTCGTGGACTTACTGGTTTAACAAGTTATTATACTACCAAGTTGCAATTGTTTACGTGCTAACTAGACTCGTCACAAATGTTTCCCAGGTTAGTTAATAAGCATTTTATCGCTTAACTATCCGAAAAAAAAATCTCTCCGTTTTTCCTTTATTTTTTGGGCAAATCACGGCCACCCCTAAGGTGAGGTCAAATTACGAAAAAACCCCTCTTGTTTTGGGTAATTACGAAAGAACCCCTTCTCCGGTAGGTAAGTTTGACACTGTAAGGGTGGGCGGGTGGGCGTGTAAGACAATACATAGTTGAGATGGGTGATTGTAATTAACCAAAAAAAAGGGGGGGTTTCGTAATTTAACCTTACCTTAGAGGGGTTTGCCGTAATTTGCCCTTTCTTTGGTGCGCTATAAAAATATTGACATATTTTTTTTATTGAAATTGTTGATCAGGCATTTCTTGCATTCTATACCATAAATGATCTGCAAATGACCCAATCTTCCAAAGCTTTGGTACCACATTTAAATAATTCCCTCGTCGCCTAATTTTCCGTGATAAATATTTAATTTGTCATTAATCATTTTTAATATTTGTGCTCTTAGGTTCCTGCAGTGATCTACATTTGTAGCTTCATCGTATCAGTCCTCTTACAGGTTGGAAATATTAAATATTTCTTCTATTTAAATATTAAATCGTCTTACTAATTTTTCATCATTATATATATATAGGAAATAACATGGAACCGTAATCGAGTAAAGGCATTCTATTCTTGCGGAGGTCTTCTTTGGATGATTTCTGGTGCAGGGATCCTCTTTCTGCCAATCAGCATGAATTATTTTATGTACGTTTTGTCGATAGTGATTGGAGTTGCGAACGCCTTAATCATGGTAAAGAATAAAACAATATTTTCCTTTTTTTTTTTTTAACTTAAAATTATCGGATTGAGTTTGTTGATTTTACGGAATGACAGGTGTCGGGGGTGAGCATGCAGAGTTTTCTAGTCGGCGACGATCTCAACGGATGTGCCTTTGTGTATGGATCGTTGAGTTTTATGGACAAAATATTATGTGGGCTTGCATTGAGTGTTCTCGAGTCGTACCAAAGTAAGTTAATTGTTTTTCTTTCATTTAATAGTTTCTGCAACAATTTCGTTGTGCTTAACATTTTATTTTATTTTTTTGTTGTGTAGGCTCGACTGAAGAAGTGCGTAACTGTCATCGACCGAATTTCTCTTTCTCCGTAACGAGATTTGGGTTAGGTCTAGTTCCGGCTATTTGTGCACTAATTGGGGTATTAGTGACACTAACCATGAAACTTCCGGAACCTGCGTTAATGCCTTTGATGGAACCGCTACTCGCATAGGCCATCGAAAAGGTGTCGAGATTTTGATAATTGAGCCATTATTGAATAGATGGGAGTATATTCTGCAGATGTTTGTAGGAATTTATTTTCTCTACAAAAGAATATATATATATATTGTGTGTATGTAAATAATAAATATATGTTTTATTTTAGGGTTTTGGTTGTAACTTGTTAATTGTTATAGACAATTTTGATTCTTGGGAAATAATTCTTGATTGGTGAAGCTAAGGTTTTGTAGAAAGAGACAACCTAAAAAATCCAGTTCTTGAATTGTTGACATTTATGATCATAGTTGGGAGTCTATTTTCAACCACATTCTTGCAGAATATCTGCAGTTGGTGTTTGTGTGTGGTGGGTGGCACCATAAAAGTTGGAAGAAATATATAAATAAATAAAATATAATAATAGTAATAATAATAAATAAAATAAATAATAATAATAATAATAATAGTTGAAAGAATCAATGGACCTAGACATGACCACAGTTCGAACCGGATCGAACCCTTGTCGACGTATTTTTAACCAGAACCGAAAAAATCGGTTAGCTTCCGGTTCCCGAACCGGTCTAATTTTTTTTCGTTTTTTTTAAATTAAATAATTCTAATAGTCAAATTTTCAAATAAAAAATTAAAATTCCACGTGGAGGCCTCAAACGGTCGAGTATAAAAAAAAAAAAAAAAAAGGTTTACACCCAGTTGAACCGCCGGTTAAAATTGGAACCAGAACCGACGGCTTTTGAACAGTTTCAAACTGTAAATATTCGGTTCAGTTCCAATTTTTCCAAAATCGAAATTGGAACCGGCGGTTTGGAGCTGGAACCGAACAAAACCGAACTGTGGTTAAGTGTAAATGGACCTAAATTTTGCAGTAAATAATCAAAACATAATTTAATACACACAAGTAAAGATTTGTAGACTGCCTTAAGGGGTGAAATGTACTTATATAAAGTATAAACAATATTACAATAATACAAAAGAAATGAAGTATAGGATTTTCCCTCGGCACAAAATAATATGAGTTCTCCCTCTAAATATATGAACCACGCTTAAAACATATTACAAAAGGTGGGAAAAATATATATAAACCAAAAACGAGGAAAATAATTCATAGCAGTCCAAATCATAACCACAATAACACAGTCCGATAATAAAACATAATGGAGAGAAAATATATCAAAATGCATTAGTTAGATTATTTTATATAAAAATATTTGCAAATTTTATAAATAGAAATAGTTTGCAAAATTTTAAATGCATTATTTTCAAAACAAGAAAATGAAATTAAATGATGAAATTTGTTATTACATAATAGTTTTTTTTTATTTTTTATTTTTTATTTTTTGTTTTTTTTTATTTGAATCTCAATTGACATATTCTTTCACGTATGTAAATTGTTATTTTAATAAACTCTAAAACTCAATTTTATAATATAAATAAACAATAGGAGGAGGAAATTAAAACTACTAATGATAATAAATAAATAAATAAATTAACACGTCAGCAAAATGAATTAAAAAGCAGATCGATATTTGCATTTGATTCTCTCTCTCTCTCTCTCCCCTCGGTTCCACCATCTTCCTCCGCTCGCACTCTTCGCGAGTTTTCTCTCTCTATTCTTTTTCTCTCTCTCTACTTTTACATCTACAGTCCCGTGAATCTTGGTCTAGGTTTTAAGGTGTATCTGGCTGAGGCGCCGGACTCAACAACGGTGGATCTGATACAAGAGAATAAAGCAAGATGAGCGCGGATCTGGTGGCTGAGAGCACTAATGGGAATCTCGACGAGCAGATTGCTCAGCTTATGCAGTGCAAGCCATTGCCGGAGTCTGAGGTTTTTATTCCTTCTATTTTTTCTCTTAATTTTCTGTTTTTGTAAGATTTATTCGGTTTAGTATTTACAGATCTGGTCAATTTGTCATGTTTAGGGATATATGCGATTGTTGTATTATCAGTATATTGTTATTTTCATGATTTTTTGGAGGTTTTCGTTTTGCCAACATAGAGATTGAGGAAGATGAGAAATTAAAATCGTGGGAGGGAAATATAGATTTTATTTACCTAGAAAAAAAAAAGGATTTTGCTACATTTGTGAATTTGACGATTGGTGATTTTATGGTTATTAAAGTAAATTTTGAGGTGTGTTAGTGTAGAGGAATGTTAGTTGATGAGATAATTGTTAACCTTGCAAGAAAACCAGTTTGTATAGCAAGATAGATGGAAATAGAACATCAACTTTCAAGTTCTATGTGTGTGTGTGTGTGTGTGTGTGTGTGTGTGTGTGTGTGTGTGCTTTGGCTTGAAATATTTCCTAGTAGTTACTAGTCAGTACTTTCTAATAAATAGGTATCAGTTGAAGATCTATATATTATTGATGTATATCCACTACAGTTGTACATATTATTCACGTGTGTGTAACCTTCCTGAAAACACAACCTATATTGACCAAAAAGTATTTCATAGATGGGAAGAACCAGCTGCGAGACTTGTCTCGCTAAGCTATATGAAAATAGTTCTTAACTCCCTTATGAATCTGTCCGCTCTAGGTATATAATATGAAGAGAACCTTATCCCATATGGAACTGTATTTGAAGAATGATATTCAATGTGACAAAATGAATTTTAACTTGATTTGATTATTGGCATAATAGGGATTGATTTGAATAAATAGTGTGTCTCTCATTTCTTACCAATGCTAAACAAATTGTTCCAGAGAATTGGTAGATGAGCAGAAAGAAGTAGCTGGTTGTTCTTACCACCACATTCTAAAGGGGATTGGTGTGTGGATCCCCTTTATTCACAGAAGTCACTTGTATTGGCCAATACAATAACTCTTCTAAGTTGTATCTATTTAGCCTCGTTTGACAGTCTCAACCAAGTCTGTAATATAGCGATACTTTTTTGGGCCAGTCCATCAGTTTTACTCTCTCCGTACTAATTATATTAGGCTAAAGTTGGTAAATCAGTAGGCTTCGACAAGTTTCTTGGAAATGAAGCATCTGATGTATCCATGACTTGCTTTGTCAAAATGGTAAATGGATGGTGGAAGAGATGATTTCTAACTTATTCTTTTTATTTTGTGCGTTCTGATTGTTTTTACTCAATCCATTCGTATCTGCTCATTTGCTCCACCAAACACTGTGTGGTTAACATTAGCAGCTTTGTCAACTTACTTGTAGCTTAATTGAGGATTGCTATGACACTGTACCTTGCTATAGCTGATCGATTCACCTTCTTGTCAGATCTATATTTGTGTTTTATGTGTTTTAACTTCAGTGTCTTCTCATGTATATTATCTCTGAGGTGAAATGGAATTGCTGATTGAGATTGTCGATCATTGTGTAAATGTAGGTTAGGACTTTGTGCGAGAAGGCTAAAGAAATACTAATGGAGGAAAGTAACGTTCAGGTATGAATTTTGTATTTCTCTTCTCTCATATTTTTTTTGTACAGGTATATATGAACAATCCATACTGGCTAAATGGTGATGAATTAACGGGAAGAAGCTATATTTTTTACATTGATAGGTGACAGTGTAACTCATTCTATGTGGCTTATACTTGAAGTAAGCCTCTCATATTTTATAGAGAGAGATTGGTTCCATTAGGGATACAGAAATAACTTCATTTTCTTTACTGAGGGAAAGAGTAAGAGGTAGTCAAAGTAGCAGCTGTCTGCAAACTTAAAGTTTTCCATTGTTTTTGTTTTGGCATTCATAACCTTAAATTAGCTCGCATTTTTACCAGTTGGTTAAATAGTGTGTGTGTGTGTGTGTGTAAGATTCCGGTATCTAAATTGCTTTGCTTTCAAATAAGTTTAAAACAATGTTTTCATAATATTCCTGTAGAAAAAAATGTTCATACATTCTCTACTATAAACAGATTTCCACATTTTGAATCTTAGTATTAGTGGCATTATTAATGCACTCGATCCTTATACTTTTATAGGGTGTTTAGTCATACATTCACGCCTAATTTGATTTGTCATTTTCCTCTGAGATAACATAATTGAAAATTATTTCTGTTCAAGATGCTATATTGATTCCTTTGTTGCTGTATGCAGCCGGTAAAAAGTCCTGTGACAATTTGTGGTGATATTCATGGCCAATTTCATGATCTTGCAGAACTTTTTCGCATTGGAGGGAAGGTATTATAGTTTCCATTGACGGTCATATGTGTTTCTTCTTTGTGTATTTTTATTAATATTATGATAGGAGAAGGGAATCTTTCAGTCAAAGAAACAGACTTGAGGATGGTCTTGGTCTTATCATTTTATAACAAGTTGAAATGGTTAAAAATATATATTTTTCAGTTATAGAGGCTTACTTGTTTACTACATGCCGACTCCTAGTTGTTAGATACATTTCTGTCATGCCTTATTAAGAATGATGGAATCCTCTGTATTACCTCTTTCATGATGCTTTTCTTTGTTGTTCGAGTTATTTACCACAAAGAAGTTTGGGGATGGGGATATGTGATTTTTGCTGGGGTTTCTTGTCTCTCCCACTTTATGGAGACTGTGTAATAATTATTGAAAGTTTTTGATATAGTTCCATTCTCTTATTGACAGTGTCCCGACACAAATTATCTATTTATGGGAGATTATGTTGATCGTGGGTACTATTCTGTTGAAACCGTCACTGTAAGTTCACTTTAAATGATATTTGATTTTCATTATACTGTCATACTTTGAAGCTTTTGTCATGTTAGTGGTACATTTATTTTGGATTATGTATCCTGCTTCTCCTTCTACTTGGGAACCGGGATTCTTCTTCTCATGTTTCTCTTTTATGTTCCCTTTCTTGTGGTGGGCTGGGGCACATTTGTGGATTAAGTAGTGTTGTTTTACATGTTATTGTGTCGTGGACCTCACAGTAATTGGAACATAATTTATTGGAAATGCTGATATGCTTATTTCCTGCAGCTTTTAGTGTCATTGAAAGTGCGCTATCCACAACGTATCACAATTCTTAGAGGAAATCATGAAAGTCGACAGGTATTCATATTTTATTAGTTTATATTTTCCTTTTCATAACCTTACAGGGTTACGAATTGTTTTTTCCTTTAGACTTATTTATTGACATTGTGGGATGATTTAATCATTATGATGACATGCCGACCTCATTTACGCTAGAAGTGATTTGTTGAATTTAGTGCTTTATGTGGTTTTAATCTTATAATTTGTACTTCTCCCATGTATTGCGTGTGTGTGCTTGCTCCAGTTTAGTTAATTACAATGGCATGGTTACGTGATTATAACTGAGATTATGATCATATTACATGATTTTAGGTTTAAAATCATAGTTGAACTCAATTAATACCCCATTTGGCTCTTGCATAAAATTGAGAACTGGAGATTGACTTACTGACCTTTCTCTATCAATTAGATGTGGTACATAATGATATATTTCTCGGATTTTGTGTCGTCATCATCTTGTTTATTCCTCCCGTGTTATTTATTTTGCCTCGCATTTGGAACTTCGTAAGCCGAGGAACTGAAAATTCAAGATACTAGTAAGGAGAACATATTTTCTTTAGTTATTTGCTCTGAGATTGCTGAATGAAAATGTTTTTGCTCTCTTGCAGATCACTCAAGTATACGGTTTCTATGACGAATGTCTGCGGAAGTGAGTTTTTGTGTTCTCATATGACCTGTTTCTGATTTGGTTGAGTAGTTTGTATCATTTACCTATATTCTCTTCTACAAAAGATCTGGAAAGACTCAGGCAATTTTTGGAAGCTCTTTGGGTCATATTATCATATCGTTTTGGGGAGATGATACAATGTCTGGAGGTTTTAGTTGATGAATAAATAATTTTTTTTAATATATTTAAATTGATAAAATGATTGGATGATAGTTAGTGAGAGTGGCAGATCTGGGGAGAAGTTATTGAGTGGAGCTGTAGAGAGAGAGAAGGGAAGTGTGGGAGGGACAATTTTCTGTCATTTGGGTGGCGGAGGTTGGTTTGAGGAGAAAAGCAAAATGTGTCCCTCAGTATCTTTTCGCTAAAAAAGGAAAAGGGAAAATCAAAATATTTTGAAATGCTTTAGCAAACACCTTTTCGCTTCAGGCAAAGCTCCAAAAGTTTTTTGAAATGATTCCAAACATTGCGTCAGGCTGTTTGAATACTGCTAATCAGCAATAAATATTCTTTTTGTTAATGGAACTTTCCTGGTTAGACTAGGTGTCGTATAATCAAGATAGTGTTTGTTGTGTGATTTCTGGCAATCACTTTATTTGTATTTAGATATTGCATACTTATAACAGAAAGTTTACATATTAGAAAGTAAGTAGGTTGAAATAGTTAGAGAGATAATTTTATTAGAAACATTTCCTCGTCTACCTAACTGTATTTTGCCTTTTGCTTGTGTTGCACTTCTTGGATTAACATGTCCATGTTTTTCATCATATTCCTTTTTCATTCTATGTTAATGCTAACAGCTTGCAAATTCCACTTTTGGTTACAGGTATGGAAATGCCAATGTTTGGAAGATATTCACCGATCTGTTTGACTATTTCCCTTTGACTGCATTGGTTAGTAGAACTTTCTTCCTCATTATCTCTCTCTCGTTTTTTATTCTTTTTGTCCTTGTTAAACTTGTATTGTGTATTTTTGTGTAGGTTGAATCGGAAATATTTTGTCTGCACGGTGGATTATCCCCCTCGGTGGAAACCCTTGACAACATAAGAAACTTCGATCGTGTTCAAGAAGTTCCACACGAGGGTCCGATGTGCGATTTGTTGTGGTCTGATCCCGATGACCGTTGTGGTTGGGGTATTTCCCCCCGTGGTGCTGGATACACTTTCGGCCAGGTTTTCTCCTCTATAATACTTATTCTCGGTTCATTATTATTTTACACGCTCCTTTTAAAAAATGTTATAATTCTGGCAATTTTTGTGCCTATATGTTTTTCAGGACATATCGGAGCAGTTCAACCACACAAACAACCTTAAACTAATTGCTAGAGCTCATCAACTTGTTATGGAAGGATATAACTGGGCCCATGTAATTTTCTATATACAAAATCTTTCTTGTTTGTATATGTATTCAATATTACGATAAGTAGAAACAGAGTGCTGACAGTTGAGATTTTTGACTTCATACCCACAGGAGCAAAAGGTTGTCACTATTTTTAGTGCGCCGAATTATTGCTATCGCTGTGGAAATATGGCATCTATTCTGGAAGTGGATGATTGCAGGGAGCATACCTTTATCCAGGTCTCTCTCTCTCTCTCTCTCTCTATATATATATATATATATATATATATATATATATATATATATATATATATATATATATATATATATATATATATCACACACACACACACACGTAACTCTTTCTCTCTTTCTGTTAGCGAAATGTTGTGATTATGTGAGCGCAGTTTGAGCCAGCTCCAAGGAGAGGAGAACCAGATGTGACTCGGAGGACACCCGACTATTTCTTGTAGAGCTGAAGACAGTGTAAGAGACTGTTTTTGTCTGCAAGGTGTCGATTTACATGTCTTCTCGTGAAATTTGATTTTCCAAGTTACCGAGCATCCCTTTATGAAGGTGTGTGTGGGAAGAGATGCATGTAGAATAGCGATAAAAGGTCTTTTTAAGTTATTATCCTAACCTGTGTCCTAGGGTTTAGAGTCGGGGAAGTTGGGTTAGGAGATGCGTTTGTGTATCATTTGTCTTATATTTTCTTTTTTTGATGTTTTTTTTTCTTCTTTCTCGTCTACTAATAATTTTCTTTAATTTTTTTTTCTTTCTTGATTTTCCTTTCAATCGCTGCCGTTTTGTGGACAGGGATTTTGTGGAAGTGATCCCGAACTTGTATCCATTAATTGATCTTTATTATTCTTGTTGTTGCTTTTCTGAACTAGTAGTCGAATGCTGATTTTCAATCTTTTGGTCGTGGTTGGCTTTATTGCTTAAGATCGTCTCGTTTGGTAGTTTTATAATTTTCGTACTGTAGTTTTGATACAAACCGAGATTGTTTTGTGACTTTTATAGGGTTTAATTAAATATGCCACTCTTCTATTTTATGAAGTATATATTTTGTTCAAAAATGTAATTTTCGAACAGTATAGGTTAATTCGTCAGTGTTGTCGAATCGAACTTACGAAACAAGATTAAGACGACGATTGCTTAAGTCAGCTGTTTAAGGTTAGTTTGATACTGTTGTAATAAATCAAGAAAAAGATTGATACAACATAAGTTTATTTTTTGAGCATCATTAGATGGTGAAATGTCGTTTTATTTTGGGTAAATTTTGGCCACCTTCTGAGTTAAGGTCAAATTATGAAAAAAAAAATTCTCTTGTTTGCTAATTACAAGTTACAACTTACAACCACCCTTCTATTAAGAATCTTCTTACACGTATATCTTCGCGGTGTCAAATTTAGTGGAATCTTCTAGATTATGTGGAATATTCTTCAATTTGTACACGTTTTACCCCATTCGAGCTCTGCATTTTGAAACAAGATGATCATAAGATGTTTCTCTTAGCTTGTAAATATCAGATTGTGGTGCATCAGAAACTGCATTTTTCTACAAAATGAGTACAAACTAGAGAACATTCCACGAAATCTAGAAGATTGTGTTGAATTTGACACCATAATGGTGGACATGTAAGAAGATTTATGGTTGAAGGGATGGTTGTAATTACCGATACATGATGGGGGCTTTTGTAATTTGAGCATACCTTAGGTAGGTGGCTGTAATTTACCCTTTTAGTTTTTGTTGATCAATTAACATATTCAAATTGTTTTTTTTTTGTTCACCATTATATCATATATGCAAAGTCTACTTATCAGAATAATCAAAGCTGTAATTCTTGTCAACTTTTTTTTCTCGTTTTTTATACATTTGCGAGTTTGCGCTATTCGAACGGTATTAGCAACTAAGATTTTCTCGTCGCTAAAACATCGAAACTCCAGAAGAATTAAATAAACACAAAACAGTAACTAACCAAAAAGAGAAAAAAAAAAAAAAAAAGAAAAAAAGAATTCCTGACAATGATAATTCAGTTAGTAAACTTTAGTCCTTAGTTATAGTGATCTTGATCTCTTTCCCAGCAGCATTAGCCTTAGACAAAGCTTTCATGAACTCGCACGATCTCATATGCGAGTGTAGTTTCTCCGGATTGAACGGCTTTCCGCATTGCCTTATACACCCAACCACAAAAATGATAATCATTAAAACCGACCATTCTTGTCATTCTTGTATACGAAAACAAAAACACGAAACAAACTTACGAGCAATTTGGCCAGTTAAGTTGCTTGTAATTAGCAGCACAAGTTGCTGTTTTCTCCTTCGATTCACTCTTGTTCTTCCCTGATCCCTTTACCCCATCACAGCTCTTCCTGTTTCCATTTTCAAGAATTTCACATATGCACAGAGAGAGAGAGAGAGAGAGAGAGAGAGAGAGAGAGAGAGAGAGAGAGAGAGAGAGAGAGAGAGAGAGAGAGAGATTGTGAAAACCTGGCACCCCATTTTTGTTGAGTCCAATTCGGAGTTCCGAACACCCTCTGAGAGCCACCCATTCTATCACTTTTGCACACCTCTGCCGAATATACATTTTCAAGATCATTTGAGCACATATTCAATAATGCCTTCTTATTATTACTCTGCTTATTATTATTAACTGCCACAACTGCCGAATCATTCGTTTCCACAGCTCCACATGTAATCAAGTTCCGGAATATACTCGAACCTCCATTCGAAGAGCCCTTGCTCTTGCTCTTCGACAAACGAGGCTCCTTCGATGAATCTGTAACCGCACCTTCTCGATCTTCTGCTATACTTGTAACTTTTTCATTAATAGTAACTTTCTTAGTACTACTACTTCTTTCCTTCTTCTCCTTCTTCTTCTTGCTCAAAAGTGCCGAGTAAAAATTCGAGGACCGCTGCGTTTTCTCTTCGAGAGATGGATCTTCGTGTTTGTCCTTCTCGATTTTCCCGGAATCGTCCGTCAAAGTGGATGTTTCCGAGCCGAAAGAAGTCGGAGACTCTTCTTCGATTTCGCATGATTTTGTCGAGACGTAAATTGAGGTTTCCGATGAATGGCTGTGGTTATTCTCTTCTTCTTTGGATGATGCCTTTTGATTTTCTTCTGTTTTGTAACAAAAATCTCGTCATAATTAAAGTAACGAAGTATATATATATATATATATATATATATATATATATATATAATTTGGTTAAATTAAATATAATACCTTTAATATTATTAATAATAATGGAGGAAATCTCAGATCCTTTGAGCACATATTCATTGTCTGAGATTGGAGTAACTAAATCATCATCCATTAAATCTTGCCATACATACCCTGTTTTATATCTCCTGCATTTCCAATTAAATTAAATCAACAAATTATTATTTTTTTCGCAAAAAAACAATCGGATTCCAAATCCGATTTACAATAAATTTTCGACAATAATTAATTTTTAAATTATATATAATATGTGGAATTAATTTACCTCTTGTATGACCAAGAAAATGATTCTGGCATGTCTTTTCCTCTTAATTCTCCCAACCATCTCTTGATATCTGATTACGCGCGTATACGTATACATTAGACGAACACGCGTATAAATTATGTCGAACGAACAAACTTACATTATGCATGCATAGAAAATTAATCATGATTAATAATAAAGAACGAGTAGTGATGTATAATTAGTAAATAAATTAAACCTCGTAATCGAACACCGTTTCTAGAGAGATGATGGACGCGGACGAGATGAGGGTGTTCGATTCGGCCTTTTCGACTAAGAAAGTATACTATATGAAGTCTTCTCACTTCCGCACCACCACCACCACCACCGCCATCGCTACCGCCACCGCCACCCTGTGCCGCCTCCATTAAATCTTCTGTACTCAATGGCAAACAAACAACACAGCCAAAGAAAAGAAATGCAAATTAAATTAAATACAAGCTCCTTTTAATTAGGCTGCAAAACACAAATAATTATAATGTATATTTATATTTTAAAAATAAATATAAAAACAAAAACAAAAGATCAAACATGTGAAACCCAAGACAGAAGAAAGATCTTTGTTCTATGCCGGCCTGCTCTTACAATAAAAAGCCAAAAAATAAAAGGGATTAATTAATTAATTAATTAATTAACAAATTCTTCGTGTTTAACCAAGTTGTCTGAAAAAAAGAATCACAAGAAAACATGCATGGATGTGCAGGCCTATTATATATATATATGTACTTTTTGTATCTATATATATATGCTTTATGGAAGAGAGTGAAACTAAACAATAATGAAAATTCTTACTCAAATCGAAATGAACATTGGTTAAAGAGATGTTTTTACGTATGCATATATACCTTATAATAATAATAATAAATCTCTTTTTTTAAAATATATATTTAATGGAAAATATTGTGGGTTAATTATGCATTTGGATTAGATCTGTAACTAAAATAAACTATTAAAAGGGGGTAATAAACTTGGTCTACACAAAGAAGTTGTATCTGATTTCGGGGGATTTTGTTATCTATGTATTTTTGGCAGCTTTTGACCAAAAGAAACTTTAGGGTAAATTACGGACACCCTATAAGTATGATCAAATTACGAACATACCCTTTCTGTTTGGGTAATTATATGCATCCCTCTCAATTATGAATCTTCTTATATTTTATCATTGCGGTGTCAAATTTAGTGGAATTTTCAAAATTATGTGAAATATTCTCTAGTTTGTACCCGTTTTACCCCACTCGAGCTTCACATTTTGAAACAAGATGATCATAAGACGTGTCTTTTGGCTTGTAATTATCAAATTGTGCTGCATCAGAAACTTTTTTTTTTGTGTGCACAAAACGAGTACCAACTAGAGAACATTTCACGAAATGTAGAAGATTCTGTTGAATTTGATACTATAAGGATGGACGTGTAAGAAGATTCATACGAAGGTGGTTGTAATTACCCAAATATAATGTGTTTTTTTGTAATTTAGCATTACCTTAGGGGGTTGGCCGTAATTTACCCATGATTTTATAATGATTTATATAATATATAATCATATATTTTATAAGATGGTAATAAATTATATTACCTTTCTTGGCGTGTTTTTAAATCTTCGCCATTTTTATATTTGATCTTACGTTTTTCTTTTTTATGGTAGGATGATAGCTTCATTATAAAATTAGTCCTACAAATTTTAGTCTATTCTTTTCATTTCAAAATGTCTATTTTGTCCTATACTTTCTTATTTCTTTTCATAAAAAGAAAAAAAAAAAGTGGAAAAAAAAGGGGATATTGTAAAAAAGTTTTGAGGAGAGAAATCATAGCGAGTACTAAGTAAATTCTGCGATCGTGTAATAGCTCACAAATCGTATGGAAGATATATGGTAGGATTTTTTTAGAACCCAAATGTTGGTTAGTGCTTAAATCAAATAATCAACTAAAATTTGTAATTGTTAAATCGACGAACACTATTTTAGTATTTTTGACAAACTTCTATAGTTAAGTCTACGCTACTAAAAATGCACTCACTAATGATGGCAATTTAACATAACTTGATATGTATTCTGCTCGGTTACGATTCGTTTGAACTCAAATGGATTGCCAGCAAACCAAGCCCGAACACAACTTTTAAAATTCGATTAAAAAAAATAAAAAAATCAAACAAACTTGGAACATAAATGACTGGTGGTGGCGTGGGGTGGGTTGGGTGGGTGGGGGTGGGTGTTTGAACATGATTTACCAACAAATTAAACTAAATTAACTATATAAACTTTTGTTTTCTTGGAAAATAAGGTTTAACCGTATAACATTAAAATAGAATTTAATTAACGTAGTGCATAAGTACTGTTGTTAAATAACTGTCTGAAGATGAGGGGTTCTGTTTTCAATTGTCATTTGTCAATGTTTGCTTATGATTAGTGTTTTGTTTGAGGGGGGGTTACATCACCATTATGATTAGTGTTTTACGACATAAAACAAAAAAAAAAAAGTTGGATAAATTACAAAAATACCCTTGAACTATCACGAATTACTAATATACCCTTATCGAATAAGTTTCTTAAGGAAAAAAGTATAAGGTCTATAATACCTTTGGTTCAAAAAAAGAAAAATAAAAAGGGTAAATTATAAAAACCTCTTGATGGTGCAAAATTTGTACTCTCAAGATCTTCCTTCAAACTCCACTTGTTTTGGCTGACGGAGAGCTCACCGGACGTGGGACCTAGAGCAGGCAGCGGCGAAACAGTGAACGGAAAATAATAACGAGAGCTAATTTGAGAAGAGAGTGTAAATAATGTATTATTGATAATGAATAGTAACCCTAATAGGTTATCATACATTTGTTTATATAGAGAATTATATATGACTATTTTCTAATTTAGAAGCTCTTTATTCGTTCGAGATTTACATCGATTAGCGGATCACCGATCTTAATTTATACACTTTCTTTATTTTATGGAAATTATCTCGAGATCTCTTCTTGAACTGCCATCTCCGAGCTCGCCACCTACTACCTATTATTCTTCCTTTAGTGCGAGTTGATGAATGTGAGTGAGCACTACACACGAGTTGCATGTTGGCGATCTTCTTTATCATTTGAGCCTTCTTACAACAAACGCTTTAGTTCATGTTGATACTTACCATTCATCGGGGTTTGCCTAATGGGCTTAGTTCATATCGCTCATCGGGCCTTGACTCAATAATTTTGGGTAGGGAAGGATTCAACCCAATATTGTTGAACTGACCCAATCACCTTTGATCAAGGTAGAATTGAATTATCGGAAAAACTCTTAGATATCAATAATATTGTATTTGAAGACTTGGCGAATCCTATATATTTTTGGGCGAACTTCGACGTCATATAATTTCGGTCTAATGAATTTTTCAGCGACATTCCCGCGACTTTGTTTGTAGTGCCATTTCAACGACTTTTTTTAATGACTTTTTGATAATATTTATTATTATGTACTTTGTATTATAAGTGAATTAAAAAATACAATTTTCAAATTTTGTCGATTTAGATACAAAAGTTTCTGATTTTGATGGTAGTTTTTTTGGTTCCAATTTTTTAAATTTTATTTTTCGATTTTTTCCGAATATTTTTTGAATAAAATTAGAATTAAAATTCTAAACACTAAAATTAAATTTTCCACCCATACACAACAACAACTAGCGCACAACGTTCGAATTCTATTCCAAAACAATAACACAATTACCCCTCAAGAGATTGAGGTAAGTATATATATAAATACAAGAATCAAGATACCATTCCATACAAACCATACATAAGAAACTTCAATCTTAAAAGAAAATACAAAAAATAAATAAATAAAAAAACCCTAAATTTTAAATTTAAAAGACATAGCAAACAATATTAATAAAATTAAAATTCACACAAAGAAATCAAGATTATTCATCACCAATCCAACTATTTTTCCACTTAGGTCCAATAGGCCCTTCTTCACCAAACACCTCATTAGGGAGACTCCTCACAATTTTATCAAACACACTTTTCAATTTTCCCGGCAAAACTTTCTCCACCTTCCTAATTTCATCCTCCCTATTATAGCTTATTTTCGGGCCCCATTTTCGCGCATAATTCAACCACGGCGGCTCGACTCCGTCCACCACTACACACCTCGCTCCGACATCCATCGAAAACTTGCTCTTTGCACTGTCGTTTCGAATCCCAACATTCCCATTCCCTTGCAAAACCAACCCTTCCTTCGGATAAGACGCGTGCCCGTGTAAAGACGAAAATGCCCTCGGTCTATTACTCCCGTTTTCAAACTCCAAATCCGATGCCTCCACCCAAACCCCATTACTATGTTGACCAAAATACACACTCTTTAGCTCTCCACTTAAATTGCTAACCCTCAAAGTAACATGTTCCCAATCTCCGACGTGCTCTCCGATTCTCCCCAAAGAAACGTTCAAGAACTCGATTTTCGCCCTAGCGGGCCCGTTGAAAGGGTAAAATAGCCATATTGCTATGTCGGTAAAAGTCCCACCAAACATTGGCTTCACGTGCAAGTAAGCACATGCAGAAGCTAAGTCGCCTTTCTTGACTCTCTCCTTGGATGCATTGTCTATCGGAAGGTCGATCCAATACTCATCATCGTTTCCACCACCTTCCGGAAGATTCAAGCCCGTCGGGCTTATATTCACGGGCTTCGACTCTTCGCCCTTCTTATACAATAGTGCTCCGTTTTCGAAGAACCACTCGACCGAAGAAGGGAAGTATTGTTCATTAGGGTGGAAATATATATATGGAGAGTAGGTTTGTATTAAGGCATTAATTTGATCTTCATTAGGCATTAAATCTTGATTAGCATTGCCATTATTCTTCAATAGGGGCAAATCAAGATTAGCCCTATTGCTAATTTCTGCCGAAAAAGTGCCGGTTGGAACCGCCGTCCCCTGTATTCCCCTGTTTCTTGATCTTGATCTATACACACTTATCCCATTTGCATTCACATCACCCCAAATTACAGCCTCGTTCTCGCCGGTATATTCCGTGAAATCCGACCGCACGCACCGGATTTTTTCCACCGGCGGCTTCTCCGGCGAGCCCGTGACAAGATATCCGACGGGATTATAGCCATCGGGCGGCGTCGGGAGCCAGATATAGGCTGCCCCGTCTTGCTTGATTTTTAACGACTCGCTGCTCCAAACAAGTGTGTAATCAGTTGGCGGCTTTAGGGCGGCATTATTATTATTATTATTATTATTTGTTGTGACATCTTTTCCGACAAGAACATAACCGGACAACGGCTTGTTGTTCGGTTGGCTGTAGCAACCGAGCATGGAGAATCCTTCCGGTATCGAAGAGGGCTCGAAAAACGTTGCACCAAGATTTGCGGGCCCGCCTTCTAGTGCAGCCCAAATCTTGTCGAATTCCGACACCTGGCGGATTTCGAGCCCTCCTAGATCAATAATCCCACTTGCAAAACCTTCACCTGAAAACCATATTTAACAGAAATATTAAAATTAACTAACAAAAAAAGAAAGAATGTTGATATGTATGTATGTATGTATGTATGTATGTATGTATGTATGTATGTATGTATGTATTGTGATGTTAGAGAATGATGAACCTGCAGGCCAGGAGGGAAGTGGAGAAGGAAGAGTGAAGAGGGTTTCAATGGGAAGAGGCTTCTTTGATTTCTTCTTGAAAAGATTATTTGATATTTTTGATGCAGAAAGACTTATTTGATTTCCCATTCTTGAAAATTGAATTTTTTTAAATGGGAGGTAATATAACTACTTTTGGACAAGAGATTAGTGATTATATATAGTGTGTAATGAAATGGGATACAAAAACCAAAGGCCAAGCAAGAAATTAAACCTTTTTGTTTTAATTTTTTTAAGATAATGTAGATTTCGTGCAAGGTATAATTCTTACATGAATTGTGGATAACTATGCTTTAAAGAACATCTATCCTTTGACAAATATTTAAAATATGGTGAAATACATCACTTATGAAATACACAATGTGTTTTTAAACTATAAATCAACATAAATAACTCATGAGTGTATGTTATTACGTACAGATCGATGGTGTATTTCACCAAATGTAGGCTCTACAATCGATGGGGTTGCGTACTTTGTGCAAATGGATTAGACAATTAATGTACATTGTACACACACACATGGGACTAAAGTGACAACTTTTTTTCTTTTTCTTTTTTTTTTTTAATAGGAAATAAAATTTTGTAGTTATTACAAAAGTTTTGTTAGTTGCAACTGACAAAGGGGAAAGCTAATTAAATGGTTTTGATATTTTTGCATTTGTTAGTTGATTCAAGTTTTGCTTTTCTGTTGCTTGGCCGTCTTATAGTGATAGCTCAACCATAAGGGGGAACTAACTGCATATGATGTAATATAACTATGTCTTGTATATATGACACAACTCAAGATTTCAAATAATGATAAATTAACGAGGTATGACATAATATATTTCAATAAAGATGTAATATAGATGTATAGAACAAATTACCACAGAGAACAAAGCCAACCAACAATGATTCATCTGTAATGAAGTCCTATTTTTTTTATTTTTTTTTAAGTAACGAACCTGCAGTCAACTATATAGGTGCACAGAGTAAATCTACACTTTCGTATAATAGCTTGCAAATCATACAAGAAATGTAAATTATACTAGACTAATCATATATGACCATTGGCGGGATGATTCGAACTTGGTCAATTAAGACAAACTTACTTGCTGCAACTTGATTCGATAGAAGTTATGCTATTCCGTATTTATATGTATCCCTTTTAGATTATCTTTCTCTTCTCTTAGTTGAGAGTACATCTTCTTCTTCCTCCTTTTAATTTTTCTTTTTACGTTTTTTTTTTCTCTTCATCATTTGTCTCCAAATGGACCCATAAGCTGCCCTATATTTTTTAGGGCATTTGCAAACATTAATATTCACAAATAAGCAATTATTTTACCAACTTCTAATTCTTAACAGCGGTTGCAAATAAAAACTAATACGAAAATGAGTTTTATTTAGAACTTAAAATCTGTTTTAAAAGAAAAATTAATTCATCCAGAAAACGACTAAGAATAACACCGATTGCGCCAAACTTTAGGTAGTCGAAATTCAAAAATTCAGTCACAACCGTAGTAGATGAGCCATTACCCAAAAGAACCCTGAAAAACGAATTCGTAACCATATTAAATTGATTAATGATAATTACAATGTGAAGCTATTTCTTAAGCATACAATTGTCAACCAACACCTCACTCTTTGAAGAATCTTACGTCTCTAAGCGGCCGTATAAGTTACGAAGATTTGTTTATCGTAAACCGTTTGTCGGCCGGCCGTCTTAGTTTATGTTCATAGTCTTCTCCAATGAATTCTTAGTAAAATAGTGACTAAAAAATAGTATATTTTAACTGAAATTTGAACTTAAAAATGATATAAATACCCATAGTAAATAGTATCATATTTGGCTAATTGCAATTGACAAAGCTATGGGTTATAGCACTAACCCTTCTTTTAATCCTCTCTTAATCTCCATAATTATCCTCTGTGCAACGGTGTACACAATTCCTCAAATCTCAGCCGTTGGATATCCAATCAACGTTTGGCCCAAGCCCACCACATTCAACTGGTCACGCCCACAGGCAATCCCACTCTCTCCAAATTTCACAATCTCCGCCCTACCCCACCGCTACCTCACCACCGCCGTCCAACGCTACCTCCGCCAAATTCTAACCGAGCACCACCGCCCCCTCGTACCCCCACCACTCAACCTTACGTCAGCGCCGCCTCTCGCCACCCTCACCGTCACCGTCTCCGACGTCGCCTCCCCGCTGAGCCACGGCGTCAACGAGTCGTACTCCCTCACCATCCCCTGCGCCGGAGGCGCGGCGGCGTTGGACGCTGCAACCCCATGGGGGGCGATGCGGGGGCTGGAGACTTTCTCGCAGCTCGTGTACTCGAATCCGTCGAGGGCGGCGTGCGGGTTGTACATTTCCGACGCGCCGCTGTTTGCGCACAGGGGAATTATGCTCGACACTTCGAGAAATTACTTCGGAATTGGGGATTTGCTGCGGCTAATTAGGGCAATCAGTATGAATAAATTGAACGTCTTCCATTGGCATATCACCGATTCCCATTCGTTTCCGTTGGTGGTGCCGTCGGAGCCGGAATTGGGGGCGAAAGGAGCCTACAGCGAGGAGATGATGTACACGGCGGCGGACGTGCAGACGGTGGTGGAATACGGCATGGAGTTTGGGGTTAGGGTTATACCGGAGATTGATATGCCTGGTGAGTTAATTAATTAATTAAATTAAATTACTGTAATCTAATTTATAAATTAAATTAAATCATTTTTGCAGCACACACAGGATCATGGGGTGAAGCTTACCCCGACATTGTCACCTGTGCAAACAAATTCTGGTGGCCGGCGGAATCCGATTGGACTGACCGGTTGGCGGCGGAACCGGGAACCGGTCAACTAAACCCCTTAAACCCCAAAACCTACGAAATAGTCAAAAACGTCGTAAACGACGTCGTTTCAATGTTCCCCGATCAATTCTACCATGCAGGAGCCGACGAAATCACTCCAAATTGCTGGAAAATCGACCCTTTAATCCAAGCTTTTCTTTCCAAAAACGGAACTCTAAGTCAGATTCTTGAGACCTTCGTTAATTCCACTCTACCGTACATCGTATCTTTAAATCGAACGGTGATATATTGGGAGGATGTTTTGTTGGACGCCAATGTCAAAGTCTCCCCTTTGTTTCTCCCACGAGAAAACGTAATTCTTCAATCCTGGAATAGCGGGCCGATTAACGTAAAAAAAATCGTGGATTCCGGTTATCGTGCTATAGTTTCTTCGTCGGATTTTTATTATTTGGATTGCGGGCATGGTGATTTCATCGGAAACGACAGTGAGTATAATCTGCCGCCGGGCACCGATCAGGGACAGGGCGGGTCGTGGTGCGGGCCATTCAAGACGTGGCAGACGATTTACAACTACGATATAACGTATGGATTGACGGAGGAGGAATCGAAGCTTGTGATTGGTGGGGAGGCGGCGTTGTGGTCGGAGCAAGCTGATTGGACGGTTCTGGACGCTAGGGTTTGGCCTAGGGGGGCGGCGATGGGGGAGGCGTTGTGGTCGGGGAATAGGGACGAAATGGGGAATAAGAGATTTGCGGAGGCGACTGATAGGTTGAGTGAGTGGAGATGGAGAATGGTGACTCGGGGGATTGGGGCTGAGCCTATTCAGCCACTCTGGTGTATCAAGAATCCAGGCATGTGTAACACTGTTCATCCATTTTAGCTTGCCTAGTCTTCTAGAACCTTTTTTCTTTTTTTTTTTTTTTTCTTTCTGAATTTCTTTTGGTGAGTGTTATTACATTTGGTGGAATGAAATTGAAACCATTTTTCTGATGATATCTCAAATTCTTGTTCCTTTGGTGTACATGAGAGAGAGAGAGAGAGAGAGAGAGAGAGAGAGAGAGAGAGAGAGAGAGAGAGTACATGAGAGAGAGATCCTTCCAATTTTTGGACAATCACACAAAACAGTTTTACATTTTACATGAAAAAAAGGAAGAAAAAAAAAATAATAATAAGTGCATGTTTCTTCTGTTCAAGAAACTTCACCAGCACTAGAACAATCACATCTCACTTTCCCTACATTATATATGCACTCTACATGCAGAAAAATCAACACAAAACAGAACATTCTAATATCCTATAAGAAGCTTCCGTTTTCGAATCCTAAATCGAAAGGGGGGTTTTACAAGAAGGAAAACCAACCAAAACCACAATCTTTTTTTTTTTTGCACGGAAACATATATATATATCTATATAAACCCGTTTTGGCTTTTCGGTCCTTCGAACTTACTGGCAATTAGGGTTTCTGCCAGGCCCTCCGTAGTAGAAGAAATTGCCCCATTCACCATTCTTGCCAAGCCGAACATCGTAGCAACTAGATTGCTCGGTGAAAACGTCTATGTCTTTAGGCGCCCTCAAGTTGTTCGATTCGTCCACAACTTGAATGTTTCGTATATAACTCGCCTTGCCAAACCCTTCGTCGGGAAAATGACCACTCCCCATCTGCGTGGTGGTGTGTTCTCCGTCGGATTCCGAGTTCACCACTTCTCCACCCCACTCAATCATTGAAGCACTGTCTGATAAATACGAAAACAAGAAAGCCGGCCAGTACCCTAATACGTAGTCGTTCCCAAATTGCATCCACCAGTTCCCCTCTTTCGGGTCCTACATTCAACATAAATAAAATCATTTAACTTTTGCGAATTTTTTTTATCGAAAAACGAAGCCCTTATATCGAAATAATTTCTCGACGAGGGCTTTTTCGCAATTATTCCCTATTTTTAAAATGTGTGCCAGCCTGAATATGCTGAAAGATGTGTTAGCAAACAAAACAGAGAGAGCATGTAAAAACTGTCAGAGATTCCATGTAGTATAGTGCATCCAAGATTTAATAAATACCTATTAATCAGCTTCTTGATAATATAATAATAATTACAGTGGGGGTGGTGTGTAGGGGGTTGGGGGTGGGGGTCACCTTCCAGATAAGTATGCTGATGTCATACTGAGAACTGTGGTAGGAAGAAATGGGGAATATGCTTGCACCCATTGCTATTTCATTGCTGATTTGAATAAAACCTGAGCACAGCAAATTGTAGCACCCTGTTGCTTGATATGCATCACTCTGTAATTTTAAAAATTGGTTTTTTTTATTCAGACAAGATAAAGAAACCATTTTTATGTATTCATATGCAATGTAAGAAAAAGATCTCGAATTTTCGAAGATTTGAATAGACTTACAGTCCAGTAGGTGAAGAGTCTTGTGTTGTTATCTCCATATAAATCTGGGCTAACCTGTAATTAAAATTAAATAAATAAAGATTAATATATTTATAGGCAAGAATTGAAAATAAATGTTTATTATTTTTTTTTTCTTTTTTTTTTACCTGCCAACCGGCCTCGATGCTGTTGAGATCGGAGGCGAACGAGCCTCCGAGAATCCATAGCTGCGACAAACTGAATTCGTTTGGCTGTTGGATTTTAGGATCCCATACATTTATTGTTGCCTTTGCTCCATAATATTGATCTCCCTCAACATAAGCTATGGCATGCTAAACAACTCCAAAATTACCAAAATACCCCCGAAAAACGATCGATTAATTACTTTCAATATTTACAACTTGACAACATTTGCAAGAAAAAAAAAGAATTCGGTAATGGAATTCGCAAAAGATGAATTCGGAATTTCGATTCGGAAGAAGGACAAAAAAAAGACGGAGAATTTGTCAATTTGATCGGGAATCGGGATTACCTGATGGCCATTTTGATTGATAAGGTCGGGTTCGGGAGCAGCAGATGTTGGTGGTCGAGGTAAGGATTTCTTGTTCTTCTTGCCGTATTTCTTGATTGAGCTTGCTCGGAAGATATCCGATTTCCGTGTTCTTCTTACCGGGATTGTTCCCTCCGGGCATCTACCGTTCATGTGCCACATCTGCGTTATCGGCTTCGGTCCGATTTCGTTTTTCGACACTTTTTCGGTCTGTCCGAATAGCCCTTCTGGATGATAACTAGGCCTCATCTTCAATAAATCAAATACACACACTCAATCACCTTTAACAAAACTATGTATACATACATACATACATACATAAAAAAGAAATTGTAATAAAACCTGAATTGTGTGGTTTTTAAGGTGAGGATGATCAAAAGCTGGCTGGTGTGACATGTGTACGCAGTCTATGACGTCACCATCTGGGCTCTTTTTTTTTCAGAAAAAAAAAACAGAATTTATAGTCTCAGAGATTAATTACACACAGAGAAGAATATATGTGTATATATATATATATATGTATGTATATATATACCTTGATGGACTTGAGAGAAGGCTTGTTCAGGCGCCTTAAGTGCCGCTTAACTTCAAGATCCCGGCGGGCGGCGGCGGCGGCTCCGATCAACGGCGCCGCCGTGAAGAGAAAAACGAAACAGAAAATTAAAAGCTCCACCTTCATATCTGCCTTCCAAGAAAAAAAGTACACTTTCTCAAGGTGTGATTACACAGAGTGCATGAGTTTTTGAGCAAAAAAAATTCAAAACAAATCTCTAGCTTATTATTATCCTTTTGTAGCTCCCTTTGGTTTTGTCTTCACTCACAGAATTAAGTGGTAAATACTTTTTGTGAGCTGGGATTTGAATACTTCCAAGAAAACTTGCCGACGCTTGTGATTATTTTTTCTTCTCTCTCTAGACTCTGAGATAGAGAGAGAGAGAGGGAGAGACAGGGGTAGAATGGGAATAGTGGCGTTTACGAGTACGGTGGGGATGTGGTGGACATAGCTGATGGCCCGACGTCGTTTCGCTTCCACTAAGTTGGAGATCTCTCTCTTCTCTCTCTCTCTCTCTCTCTCTCTCTCTCTCTCTCTCTATTTGTATTTTAATTATTTCAATCAGTAACAGTAACGTTGGTTCATGATTGTCGCTTCAGTTCCCACTTCCCACTATTGATGCTCTCTTGTTGTTCTTATTTCCCATGTGACCTTTTTCTTTTCTTTTTTTTTTTTTTTAAATTTTTAGGAGAGAGAGAGAAATTATTCATTTCTTTTATACCAATCGTTTAATTATTGCCTTCTATTCATCATTATCATATGATTTTTTTTTCTAAATCATTAAAATTTTAGGGTCGTTTGGTTATCGGTATAATTGCACTCGGATAGGTCCACTTTTTTAAAATAATTAGTCATAATCGTCTCAGTATGTTTTTTTTTTGAAATTCTAGATCACCATATATTTTTTTCGCGAAATTTTGGATGTAAATCGACTACGTTGTTTGGGTAGTTGATTTATTAATCGACTATAGTTGATTAAAATATTAAAGTGTATATTAGACCTAAGGCAATGAATTAACTATAAAAGAAATAACATAGTTGATTATTACTGGATTATAGATGATTACGTACTGTCACATAACAATACTAAAAACGTTGGCATAAAACTGGAGTATATTGGCCTGATGGGAGAAGTTCAGCCACGCAATGCGTTGGTTAGGGACGTAGAGGAAGAAGTTGTCGGTTTATGAGATGAGGGTCATTTCAGTTCCGCGCGGCGGAAGTGTTTGATGTGCAGAGGGTGGTGCATCAACGACAATGGAGATCTTTTGATGTCCAGACTCCTCAACGACAATGGAGATTTTCTATATCCATGTGGTGGTGCCTCGGCATCAGTGAAGGTACTTGATGTCCAGACACCGGTGCCTCGGCTCGTCAGTGAGGAGGAGATAATCGAGAGGATCAAACTACTCAAATAGTAGGACTTTTGTCTAATTCCTTATTATTGTAACATTTGGGGCTATATCTAAGAGCTCCATAAATTTAATTTGCTACTTTAATTAATCTTATATTAATCCATTCATTTGATAATAGTAAATTCCAACCCACTTTAAAAAATAAAATTACACTATATAATAGCATATGCCAAAGTTTGTTAGAAAATTGAAGTCTTTGTAGGATGGACCCATAATTAGGAAGAAGAGCACTAAAATGCAATAGTAAATTGATTTTTTATTCTATTATGAATAAGGGTAGGGAGAAAACACTTTATAAAGTTGACATGTGATAGTCAATTATCTTTTTAATTGGACCATATTACATGTTTTCTTATTACTCTTATGCTGAAATTATAATTAACTATGACTATTTTTTTAATAAATTAATGCAAACCTACACTTTCGTATAATAACTTATAAACTAGACTAATCATGTGTGACAAATTCAATCTAGCGACCGTTGTCAAGGAGATTCTAATCTGAATCATTTGACACCCAGATTCACTTGTTCGTACCGTTAAATCATCCCTTACGGGACTTTAAGTTAATGCATCTTGAATCTTGATTGTTTGTTTTATTTATTTGGACAAAAAATAAATGAACGTACGATCAAAAATAGGAATTTCTACCAATTGAAAGAACAGAACATGCAATTTGTTTGCAGTATATATAGATATTTGGAGGCAAACACAATTAATGTTTCTTGTTTGTACTTAGGAAATTGACAAATATCTATTGTATGGTGGTGGTTCTTTTAGCCATGAGATAAAGTATTGTGGCCACTTATGCAATATATAAAGAGTTGTTACAGAATTGACAGGTTGTGTTTGTGATGTGTTTGAAGATAAAAACACAATTATGTATTTATAGTGTTTTGTAATAAATGTAAGAATTTGTCACATGATTAATATTTACCTTAAAGTCCAACATGTATAATATTCACTGTATATTTCATCCGATGTAAGGAATATTTATCCCATTATTCATTGTTTATTTGTACTCAAATGTCGTTTCAGTTTTAATAATACCGTTCTTATTTCAATTTTTTTTACCATATTTTAGTTTGAATTTGGCAAAACTCAGAACACAGAATTTGTAGTTTTCGAGTTGGCTTTTATATCCAACTTAAATCACCAAGATTGAATGTCAGATGAGAACGATATGCTTTAATCAATGAACATCGTCAACAACTTCAATGTTTAGAGTTGTCTAAAATTCAAAATATATCTCATTCACACATAAATTTGTCACCTGACATTCAATCTAGATAATCGAAGTTTGATAAGAAACTAATTCAAAGTACTACATTTTTTCGTGTTTTAAATTTTGTTAAAATCAGAATAAAAAAATAATCAAAATTACGTTCAAAGTTAAAAACTGTGTCGGTACAATAAATCAAATATCTTGCTAACTAATTAATTACTTAGTTAAAAAAAATTGATTCAGATTCGAATTTTCTTCTCAAATTTGAATTATTTTGCGCGTTGGGCCATGTGGCACTAAACATTTTAATTTTGACTAAACTTTACATATGCCTTTTTCCTTATCTTGATTGACCAATGATGGGGAATGAGCTGTCCTAATTTCTTTTTAGATTTTATTTTAAATTTAATTTTATTTAATTTTATTTTGGGATGATTTCCTTTTAGTGGATCTTCCACTAGTGGAAAAAATTCACGTTAAGATGGCAAATCGCCAGATTCCGATTCAACTATTTCTTATCATTAACATAACAAAATACTGTACTCTTTATTTTTTCCTTAATTGGACTAATGATTTTGTGACTAAGGTGGGAGATCTAATTCAATTTACAAACTAAAAATACATATATTTGTAGGGATCATTGATTAAAAGCGAGAGACCGTTTTCTAGGTAAATATGTGCGGCAAATTTGTTTAATGTCGCCTTTAATACCAAAAGGGTATTTCTGTAACTTCATCTCATATTGGGCGTAAACAGAGGACTTGCAGTAAATATCGTAAAGTCGCGTGTCCTGTTGGCTAAAAAAATATTTTTCAAGGAGCAACGGCCATTTTCCCCTATATTTAGCCAAATTGATTTTGAGGATAATTCATTATTGAACTAATCCGGTCAATTGAATAATCAAGGACCGAACCAAACATAACATAATGTTGTAGAGTGATCAGCAACCAATAATAAACCGACTCGAAAATAGTACATTTTTTTTAGGATAATCCCGTGTTCTGAGTTTTGCCAAATCAAATTCTAGACACAAATTTAATAAATAAATAAAAAATCCGTTATGAAAATTCCGATTGTTTTGAGTCCAAATCAAACGTAATTTTTACCAATTTTCTCTTTATTAAAATCGAATTCTAGACACAAATTTTCCATGAATTTCATAAGAGAGGAACCAATGGGCCTGGAGATATTTGAATACCAAAATCTGGTTCTCTGTTTATGAAATTCTGTACTGGGCAATAAAGTTACAGCCCATATTATGTATCTATCAGTTTTGAGCCCAAATTATGGATGAAATAATCAGTTTTTTTTTTCTTCTCCAAATTAATTTAATAAAAATAAATAAATCACATATCTATAAAAATTAGTCGCCATGATCAACATATGCATCAATTATGTACATCAGTATGTTGTGTTGGTCCCATTAATTTCAATTTTCCATGCTCCCTTCCTCCTAATTCATTCAGTTTTGGACCTACAGGAAAGCAACTAATCATCACATTATTTTTCTTTTGAAAAATATAAAATTAACAATAATCATCATTTAATTAAAAAAAAAAAAATGAACATTAAAGAAAAAACTTGGCTGTAAAGCAATAGAGAAGAAGGGTTTATGAAGAGAGGTCCCACAAGAGTGTAGCTTTATTTGCATGTGAATGGCCACCCCATTTAGATCCATCCATAAACATAATCAACAATTTCAACTCTGAGCCTACATTCTCCACCGACCCTATTATAAATAAATAATAATAATTAAAAAAAAATAAGTCCATTTCAAGCCCCACATTGAAATTGTGGGACCTTGCTATATGTAGAGATAACGTCAAATTACGCAAAAAAAAAATAAAAAAAAATAAATAAATAAAAAACCACATCGGGTAATTACAGTCATCTATCTCCTTAACTATGAATCTTTCTTATACGTCCATCATTGCGGTATTAAATTTAGTGGAATCTTTTAGATTATGTGGAATATTCTCCAGTTTGTGCCCGTTTTACCCCATTCGAGCTCCACACTTTGAAACAATATAATCATAAGACGTAGACACGGCCACGGGCCGGTTCATACCGGTTCACGGTTCACTTTTTCCGGAACCGGAACCGGCCCGTAACATGCACGGTTCGACGGGCCGGGTCGGCCCGCCGGTTCGGGCCGGTTCCGGGTCGGCCCGGAATATTTTAATTTTTTTTTTTTGAAATATTTGATGAATAAGTAAATTATAGGAAAAATTGGGGTGTGAGGGTATTTATAGGAAAAATTGGGAGGGAAGGGGAAAAGAATTAAAAAATAAATAAAATTGGGGTGTGAGGGTATTTATAGGAAAAATTGGGGGGGGGGGGGGGGGGATTCAAAAAAAAGTAAATAACGGCCGGTTCACCCGGGCCGGTTCACTAGCCGTTATTTGTTTTTTTTTTGAATTTTTTTTTTTTTAAATCCGGGTGAACCGCCGGGCCGGGCCGACGGTTCACGATTCATCATTTCTTAGAACCGGGCCCGTCCCGGGTAGGACGGGCCGGTTCACCCGGTCAACGGGCCGGTTTGGGCCGTCAACGGCCCGGTTCCAGGCCCAAAACCGGCCCATGGTCATGTCTAACAAGACGTGTCTCTTCACTTGTAAATATCAGATTGTGGTGCATTAAAAACTGTATTTTTACACAAAACGAGTAGAAAGTAGACAACATTCTACGAAATTTAAAAGATTGTGTTGAATGGTACAATAAAGGTTTATTATGTGTAAGAAGATTCATATTTAATGAGTGGTCGTAATAAGTAATAATCCAAACAAGAGGGAATTTAAGAATAAAATGTATCAACTTTTCCAGTCAGAGAAGAAAAAGTGTCCAAATTTAAGAATGTTTTTTTTAGCAGTACAGCCTGCAACTGCAATCCTATGATGATCAATCTTTACAACTAGAATCCCCATGTGATTCTTATACATTATTCTTCTCCTTTATCTTTTCCTCTCTTTTTTATAAATAATATAAAATAATCCAACTCTGTACTAGAAATTCAATAACAAAGATCCTCTGCTCAACTGAAGAGAGATCAATTGAAGTATTAAAATGAGAAAGTGCAATAATTTTAAAGAGGTTAACACAGGGGCAGGAATGTCATTTTCTGCAAATCTTTGTAAACCCCATTTATTAAAAGAGAAAATTAAGGTAAAGGGGGCCAACAATTTTTTTAAAGAGAACAAAAATTAAATCATTTTTGCCACCCCCCATTTGGAGGTAGCACCAACTAATTTTGGCTGGTGATGCACATCATTTTGCAGGATGCAATCATAACCTGCATTTTTTTTTTTGAGTTGTACTAAATGAGCTTGATCTTGTTGTACAATCAATTCTAGCACACTACTTACCTTCCAAAAGTAGGATGCCACATCAGCATCTGACGTGGACCGAGAATAGAAGAGTTGACAGGTGGTGTGGTGGGGTAGGGTGAGGTGGGGTGGGGGGTGGCTGCACTGCCTTTTGCTTTTGTGTTTTCACCACCTTCATTACTACCTCTGCTTTTGGTCTGCATTGTAAAACATTCCTTTTCTCCTTCTCATTCTCTTTCTCTCTCTCTCCTTTCCTTCTTTCTCTCTCTCTCTAGACGAACAAAAACCGAGCAGTCTCTTCTCGTTTTGTAGTATTCGATGATCGTATAGCCTTCACAGGGAGATCAAAAATGGTGAGTTTTTGGTGATTGTTCCATTTCACATGCATTAGCTGCTATATTTATATAAATTATAGTAAAAAGAAAAAAAGAACAATCTTTTCTGCTTCTTCCAATGGTTCAGGGTACTCCAGTAAACATTATAGTCGGGTCCCACGTCTGGACCGAGGATCCCGAACTCGCCTGGATCGATGGAGAAGTGCTGCAAATCAAAGGAACAAATGCAACTATAGTCACTACAACTGGGAAAACCGTAAGTTAATTATCACTTCATTAAATTTGTAGAAACTTTGCAAATCTAAATCCAAACGTTTGAAATAATTCTCGATTTCAGATAGTTGCAGCGATTAAAAGCATATACCCAAAAGACACAGAAGCACCCCCTTGTGGGGTTGATGATATGACCAAGCTAGCTTATCTCCACGAACCGGGAGTACTATACAACCTTGCTTCTCGGTTTGCTCTCAATGAGATATACGTAAGTTTTATTCACCGATTGATTATAAATTTTGCTTCATCAAAGAATAGACCATAAAAATCTTAATGTGAAATATGCAGACTTACACGGGGAATATTCTGATAGCGGTGAATCCTTTCTGTAGACTGCCGCATTTGTACGATATCCACATGATGCAGCAATATAAAGGAGCTGCTTTCGGAGAGCTGAGTCCGCATCTTTTTGCAGTTGCAGATACTTGTTACAGGTACGTTCTTGGAGAGGATCGTATTTTTTATTGAATTTCAACTGCGTATTGACAGAGCTAATTTCCGTACCTCAGGTCGATAATTAATGAACACGGAAGCCAGTCTATTTTGGTGAGTGGAGAGAGTGGAGCTGGAAAAACCGAGACCACAAAAATGCTAATGAGATATCTTGCATTCATGGGCGGGAGATCCGGTACAGAAGGGAGAACAGTCGAACAACAGGTTCTCGAGGTGAGTAAAGATTAACTCAAATCTTTAGTCACTCGACAACAGCATTTCTTATTGCAAGATTCATAGAAAACTGAAGAGTTCCATTTCTTCAGTCCAATCCAGTCCTAGAAGCATTTGGGAATGCAAAGACCGTTAAAAATAACAACTCCAGGTATTTAACACCGTAATATTCTCATGTTCAAGTTTTAACCACAAGAAGCTCACATGGCCGAGTGGGGTTGTGTACCAGTCGTTTTGGCAAATTTGTAGAGATTCAATTCGATAAGCACGGTAAGATATCAGGAGCTGCGGTACGAACTTATCTCCTGGAAAGATCGCGTGTTTGCCAAGTCTCCGATCCAGAGAGGAATTACCATTGCTTCTACATGCTTTGCGCAGCTCCACCAGAGGTGACTGAAATTTTATATAAGAACGAAAAATTTAGACGACCTTCGTGTGTGTGTGTGTGTGTGTGTGTGTGTGTATATATATATATATATATATATATATATATATATATATATATATATATATATATATATATATATATATATATATATATATATATATATATATATATATATATATAGACTGCTAAAAGTAACCGTTATCTCTGCAGGAAGCAGAGAAGTTCAAACTCGGAGATCCGAGATCGTTTCACTATCTAAATCAAAGTAGCTGTTATCAAGTGTCGAATGTAGACGATGCCAGAGAGTACCTGGAAACGAGAAACGCCATGGATATAGTTGGAATCAGCCAGGATGAACAGGTGTGTAATATAAAGGAGTAGACAGAATTGGACAATGGACAGTAATCAATAATCATAATTTTCTTACAGCCTTTGTGTTTTTTGTTTTTGAACTTTGATGAGTAGGACGCTATATTCCGTGTTGTGGCTGCGATACTCCATTTAGGGAATGTTGAGTTCGTCAAGGGGAGTGAAACGGATTCTTCCAAGCTAAAAAATGACAAGGCTCGCCATCACCTTCAGACAGCAGCAGAGCTGCTTATGTCAGTACTATTTTTCACTTTCGGCACTCCATTTTGAATTTTTTAACCTGTAATATTTCAATTTTAATATTTTCATTCGACTTGCATTTGTGCAGGTGTAGCGAGAAGGCGCTGGAAGATTCTCTTTGCAAACGTGTTATTGTCACTCCAGACGGAAGCATCACAAAACCACTCGATCCATCTGCAGCTGTCACAAGCAGAGATGCTTTGGCAAAGACAATGTATTCCAGATTATTTGATTGGTAAGTGAAATCCAATTCTGTATGGATGACAAAGTGATGTTCGTGTGATATGATCAAGAAATTCAGACAACCAAAAAATTTGATTGAATGTAATAATGAAATAAGAAAGGACTATACATATTGCTTGTCTATTATGATGACAGGATTGTGGACAAGATAAACAATTCTATTGGTCAAGATCCCAATGCTAAAAGCATAATCGGGGTCCTGGATATTTATGGGTTCGAGAGCTTCAAAATTAACAGGTACTTTCTCTTTTAACTTACTCGAGGCGGTTTTGCATCAACACTAACTTGCCCTTAACCTAAATATGGCAGTTTTGAACAGCTATGCATTAACCTAACGAACGAAAAGCTGCAACAGCATTTCAATCAGGTTCGACGAGATTCATCTTAATAATTTCCAACCAACTATACTTTCAATCTCATGAACATGAATATTTAAGCTGATTAAATTGGACAAACACGTGTACGTACAGCATGTATTCAAGATGGAACAAGAAGAGTACACAAAAGAGGAAATAAACTGGAGTTATGTTGAATTCGTAGACAACCAAGATGTCTTAGATCTTATTGAAAAGGTAAGTGCAGCAGACTCTTACACTAGAGAAGAGTGAGTAATAGAGCAAATTCATAGCCTTAACAATACACTTGTGAATCACATTGGATATTTACCTGCAGAAACAAGGAGGAATAATTGCTCTTCTTGATGAAGCCTGGTAAGCGACTCTTATTCGCAATCTCATACTATAGAAACGCTTGAAAAGCAGAACGCCCCAACCATAAGACACCTGCATTATTATTTGATAAAGATTCTATCATACCTAGCATATTTGAAAAACGACGTACATATATATATATAGCTGATGTTTTTCATATTTGCAGCATGTTTCCGAAAGCAACTCACGAAACATTTGCGCAGAAGATGTACCAGACTTATAAAGGACACAAACGCTTTAGCAAGCCAAAACTTGCTCGAACTGATTTTACAATAAATCATTATGCTGGTGATGTATGCACATTTATGGACAAATGATTCATTAGTCTCGAGCAGAGCATTTTCTTTTTTATCTTACCATTCTGGCAAAACAGGTTACTTATCAAGCTGACTATTTCCTGGACAAGAATAAGGACTATGTTATTGCAGAACATCAAGCTCTTTTGACTGATTCGAAGTGCTCGTTTGTTGCAAATCTCTTCCCTCAATTGCCCGACGAAACGTCAAAGCAGTCCAAGTTTTCTTCCATCGGTGCGCGCTTCAAGGTAAGTGTTTCAGCAAAGTTGCGCGACGGTCCAATTCCGAGAATCTTAATAGCCACAAACATTTGATAACAATCATAAATATGCAGCAACAACTACAATCGTTGATGGAAACCCTGAGCACAACAGAGCCACATTATATTAGATGTGTAAAGCCCAATGCAGTTCTGAAGCCTGGAATATTCGAGAACTACAATGTCTTAAACCAGTTACGATGTGGAGTAAGCTACTTGTTCATCTCTGATACGTGATAGTATTTCAAGTTTCTAAAATACGCTGATACCCTGTTTTCTTGCATTTACAAACGGTCTGCGGAAATTGTGACAGGGTGTATTAGAGGCCATAAGAATAAGTTGTGCTGGATATCCAACGAAAAGAACATTTGACGAGTTCATAGACCGGTTCGGAATGCTAGCACCAGATGTTGTGGATGGGTATGCAACGCCATCTCCATCTAATTTTGGCGTATTTCAAACATGCATACCCGTGGCATTACAAATTAAGAATACCAAGGGGAATAGTTATACTCTTACTTAACCACATGTTTATTGATTTCTGCATTACAGGTTTGATGAAAAATCGGCATGCATTGAAATATGCGACAAAATGGGCTTACGTGGCTATCAGGTACCTAATCTAATAATTACTAATGTATCGACTAATAGGTAAAAAATGCATATGCTTTGCTATTTAGCATTTACTGAAATATGGGCTTCAGATTGGAAAAAGCAAGGTGTTTCTTAGAGCAGGGCAGATGGCTGAATTAGACGCTAGAAGAGCTGAAGTTCTGGCTCATGCAGCAAAACGTATTCAGAGGCAGATCCGAACACACCTTACCAGAAGGGAGTTTATTATCCTACGAAGGGCTTCCATTAATATCCAGAAACTCTGGAGAGGTAATCGAGTGGCATATGTTGAAACGGAAATGCTCACTAGCTCACATGAAATTCTCAAAAAAACTAGATTAATTGTTTTTATTGTTTTTTGGTTGCTTATACAGCAAGACTTGCACGTATGCTTTATGAAATCATGAAGAGAGAAGCTGCTTCAATCCGAATACAGAAACATGCACGTGCTCACGCATCGAGAAGATCTTATACCAAATTACAGGGAGCAGCAATAGTTATTCAAACTGGTTTGCGAGCAATGGCAGCACGAAATGAGTTCAGACGTAGAAGACAAAACAAAGCAGCAACCATCATTCAGGTAATAAACTTTGAAAGAGTTAAATTAGGGACGATAGGAAACTTACACAAATCTGCATCTTTTAGATGAATCAATTGATTAACTTTGTAGTCTGTTGTGCCTTAAGCAAGTCATGTTCACCAAGGCTCACCTTGGTGCCATATTCATTTTCTTATATATCTTCGTTTTTTTCAGACACGATGTAGAAGTTTCCATGCACTTTCTGCATTTAATCGGCTGAAGAAGTCCACTCTTTCACTCCAATGCCTATGGCGAGGGAGGTTAGCAAGGAAGGAGCTCCGAAAACTGAGGATGGTCAGCATATCCTATTAATAAAACCACACCCGCATTTTCTATAACTGCTAAAAAGTGCACAGCGGTTAATAGCTAATGTTAAAATTCTATGAATGCAGGCAGCAAGGGACACAGGAGCACTCAAGGAAGCAAAGGACAAGCTGGAAAAGCGTGTCGAGGAGTTAACATGGAGATTAGACATTGAGAAGCACTTACGAGTATTACTAAAACACACTCTCC